TAAGGAGTGCTGGATTTTGTCAAAGGCTTTTTCAGCATCTAGTGAGATGATAATGTGGTTTTTCTTTTCCAGTTTGTTTATATGGTGAATTACATTGATGGATTTTCATATATTAAACCATCCCTGCATCCCTGGTGTGAAGCCTACTCAGTCATGGTAGATGATTTTTCTGATGTGTTCTTGGATTCGATTTGCAAGTATTTTATTGAGCATTTTTGCATCAATGTTCATGAGAGATATTGGTCTGTAGTTCTCTTTCTTAATTGTGTCTTTGTGTGACTTGGGTACCAAGTAATTGTAGCCTCGTAAAAAGAGTTTGGCAATGACCCTTCTGCTTCTTTTCTGTGGAATCTTTGAGGAGTATTGGTATTAGCTCTTCTTTGACTTTCTGGTATAATTCTCCATTGAAACCATCTGGCCCTGGGCTTTTTTTGGTCGGGAGACTTTTGATGACTGCTTCTATTTCATTAGGGGTCATAGGTCTGTTTAAATTGTTTATCTGTTCTTGATTTAATTTTGGTAAGTGATATCTATCCAGAAAGTTGACCATTTCCTTTAAATTTTTTAATTTTGTGGAGTACAGGTTTTCAAAGTATGACCTGATGATTTCTGATTTTGTTAATCTGCATGCTCTCTCTCTGTCTTTTGGTTAGTTTGGATAAAGGTTTGTCTATCTTGTTGATTTTCTAGGAGAGCCGCCTCTTTGTTTCACTGGTTCTTTGCACTGTTTTGTTTCTACTTTATTGATTTTAGCCCTCAATTTGATTATTTCCTGGCATCCACTCCTTTGGAGTGAGTTTACTTCTTCTTGTTCTAGAGCTTTCAATTGTGCTGTTAATTCTCTAGTGTAACTATTCTCCAGTTTCTTCATGTGGGCACTTAGTGCTATGAACTTTCCTCTTAGTACTGCTTTCAAAGTGTCCTATAAGTTTTGGTATGTTGTGTCATTATCATTGAATTCTAGGAAGTCTTTAATTTCTTTTTTATTTCTTCCTTGACCCTGGAATGGTGCAATTGCACGTTGTTCAATTTTTTGAGTTTGCAGGGTTTCTGCAATTTGTGTTGTTGTTGAATGCTAACTTTAAAGCATGGTGGTCTGATAAGATACAGGGGGTTATTCCGATTTTTTTGTATCAGTTGAGGTTTGCTATATTGCTGAGTATGTGGTCGATTTTAGAGAAGGTTCCATGTGGCGCTGAGAAGAAGGTATATTATTTTGTGTTTGGATGGAATGTAGTATAGATGTCTGTTAAACCCAATTGGGTCATAACTTCTATTAGCTCCTTTGTTTCTTTGTTAAGTTTCTGCCTGGTAGTCCTGTCTAGTAGTGAGAATGGAGTGTTGAAATCTCCGACTACTAGTGTGTGAGATTTTATGTGTGATTTGAGCTTTAGTAATGTTTCTTTTATGAATGTGGGTGCCTTTGTATTTGGGGCATAGATGTTCAGGATTGAGATTTCATCTTTCCTGTGATGAATATAAAATGTCCTTCTTCATCTCTTTTGATTGATTTTAGTTTGAAGTTTAATTTGTTAGATATTAGAATTGCTACACCAGCTTGTTTCTTGGGTTCATTTCATTGGAAAATCTTTTCCCAACCCTTAACTCTGAGGTACTGTCTGTCTTTGAAGTCGAGGTATGTTTCTTGTATGCAGCAGAAGGGTGGATTCTGTCTTCATATCTATTCTCTTAGCCTGTGTCTTTTTATAGGCAAGTTAAGACCATTGTCATTGAGAGATATTAATGAACATTGATTGTTAATTCTTTGTTGTTGGTGGTGGTGGTATTGTGTGTGAATTCCCACCACCCTTTTGGCTTTTGGTAAAGTGGGATTATCTATTGCCTATGTTTTTGTGAGTGTAGTTAACTTTGTTGGGTTGGAATTTTCCTTCCAGAACTTTCTGCAGGGCTGGATTTGTGGATATGTATTGTTTAAAACTGGGTTTTGTCATGGAATATCTTATTTTCTCCATCTATAGTGATTAAAAGCTTTGTTAGTTATAGTAGTCTGGACTGGCATTCATGGTCTCTTAGCATTTGTAGAACATCTATCCAGGACCTTCTGGTTTTCAGGGTTTCCATTAAGAAGTTGGGTGTAATTCTGATACGTCTGTCTTTATATGTTATTTGGCCTTTTTCCTATGCTGCTCTTAATATTTTTCTTTATTCTGTAAGTTTGTTTTGATTATTATGTGGTGGCAATTATTATTATTTTTGTGTTCCAGTCTATTTGGTGTTCTGTAAGCTTCTGTACTTTCATAGGCATGTCCTTCTTTAGGTTGGTAAAGCTTTCTTCTATGATTTTGTTGAATATGTTTTTTGTACCCTTGAGCTGTATTTCTTCATCTTCTTCTGTACCTATTATTCTTAGGTTTGGCCTTTTCACTGTGTCCCATATTTTGTGTTAGGGATTTTTTGGACTTACGATTTTCTTTGGAGGGTGGCTCCATTTTCTCCAGTGAGTCTTCAGCACCTGAGATTCTCTCTTCCATCTCTTGTATTCTATTGGTTATACTTATGTCTGTAGTCCTTGATCATTACCCAACTTTTCTATTTCCTGCCGTCTTTTCTATTGTTTCCGTTTCAGCTTTCAAGTCTTGAACTGTTTGAATTGTTTCCTTCACTTGTTTGGCTGTTTTTTTTTTCCTTGGCTTTCCTTGCTTTCTTTAAGAGATCTGTTCATTTCTTGAATTTTTGGTTTGTCTTTTCCTCCACTTCCTGTATTTTTGTTTGTTTTTTCTTCCATTTCTTTAAGGGATTTTCTCACTTCCTCTTTGAGGGTTTTTATCATCTTCATAAAGTTGTTCCTTCTCTTCTGCTTCATCTGTGTTGGGATGTTCAGGTCTTGCTGGTGTAGAGTCCCTAGACTCTAGTGGTGTCACATTGGTCTTTCCATTGTTGAATATGTTCTTATACTGTTGTCTTCCCATCCCTTCTTCCGGTGGGTGTAGGTGGGTCAAGACTTCAATGTCAGCAACTCTGGATGGTCTCAGCTCTCTTGGAGTTCTCAAGCAATGGCATAGGTGGGCTAAGAGTGTGATGAGGGCAATCTCTGAATGGTCCAGTGTGCTGGGGCGGGTCCACTAAATGCAGGAAGTTCCAAGGAGCGGATGGGGGAAGTTGGGCCTGAGCAGGCCCCACACGCATCTCAAGCAGAGGACATGGGGTGTGGGGGGGGCAAGACTGTGATGAGGGCAGGCTCCTGATCATCCACCCTGTCGGGGCAGGACCACCACAGATGAACCCACCCAGGAAGTTCTAAGGAGATGATGAGAGGAATTGGGCCTGAGCAAGTCCCACACTCACGGCAAGCAGAGAGAGTGGGAGTATGTATGTGGGTTCAAGATTGCAATGTGGAGATTCTTCAGGTGGTCCCCTCATTTTCATTTTAATTGCTCAAGAACCTTGCACACAGCTCTGACAGTGAACTGCCTTTTGGTGCCTTAGTGGAGGCAGCTTAAGAAGAGAACTGTGGGTCCAGAACAGTGCACTTCCATCAGCACTTCTGAAAGTGCTGGGAGACCATGATGCTCCCACAGAAAGTGCTCCCACAGGAAGCCCACCAGGAGCTTCCTACAAAGAAACTAAAAGAACTAATCAGCCCACGAGTGGAAGCTCCTGCTTCAGCCAGTCCAACAGACAAAAATTCACATCAGCTTCTATCACACATTCTAGATAAGCAGAGACCGAGTCTGGCACAACATTTTGTCAGTGTTCCAAACGGGATGGCCATCACTGGGATGAGCTTTCCAGCCATCCTGGCAGATGTGGCACAACACCTCTATGGACCTTTGCTCTGTCACCACTTCCAGGCAGCCCAGGGATAAAGCCTGCACTACACCCAACAACTCAATCTCTGAGCCTTTCTGTCTTACCTAGCCCCACCTCATCCCAATGGATTGCTTTTACTAACTTTGCTCTCATTTTCATCAGGGAGTCCAAAAATAACCTTCTGAAACCGCCCTGGAAATGACTAGGCAGTCCAGTTGAGGTCATTACCCTGGGGATCCCCGCTGTGACATTTCCTTCAGAACTCCTTGTCTTTGGTGATCAGAGAGTTTGTTTCTGTGAATCTTGGGGTATATGTATAACTATTTTTTAACCTTCTGAAACTCAGTTGTTAAGAGCACTGACTGTTCTTCCAGAGGACCCAGGTCCAATTCCCAGCACCTACATGGCAGCTCACAACTGTCTGTAACTCCAGTTCCAGGAGAGCTGACATCTTCACACATACATGCAGACAAAACATCAGTGCACATTAAATGAAATTAATTTTTAAAAAATCTATGTTAAGGAAAAATAATAAACTTTAGTTTACTTACAGGTCCTTTAAGTAACTCATTTTAAAAATAGCATTTGAAGAAAATAACCCTTTGTGCTTTTAATCCATACTTTAGAAACTGAAGAGCGAGTCTTCTGAATGCATTTTGAGAGACTGTCGATATCACTGTGATTTATTAGGCAAATACAGCTTTAGGCATCTGTAGGTCAGAAATATCCTCTTCCAAGCATAAACAAAAACTAGTTTTCACTGCCAATCAGGTACTTCAAACATAAACATAAACTCGTTATATTCCTACATCCCTCCCAGAATGTTTTCACAAGCATAGAAATCATATTTCCAAACAAAGAAAGAGTTCTCTTAAAATAAACCAACAATGAAAACAGAACTTCAACTTGAATCCCATGTGATATATCAGTGACTAACACACTATGACACCGGTCAGTGGGCAAAGGTGCTTGTTATGCAAGCCTGGTGACGTGGGTTTGGTCCCCAAAATCCAGAGAAGTGGAAGGACAGAACTGACAGAACTGACTCCACAAAGTTGTTCTCTGACCCCCCACACACACACGCTCACACACGCTCATTCAACATGCACTCAAACACACACGCTCACACACACGCACATGCTCACGCACATGCTCAAACACACGCTCGCACAATAGTACTTTTTTTAAATATAAAAGGTAGTAGTAGACAGAAGAGACTGAAATTCATATTTGATTAAAATGTAAGCATTTAATAAACTGATTACAACAGCACACAGTAGATAATCATAATGAAAAATATAGGTCAGGAAAATAATGAATTCTTGACTTAAAATTTTACTTTACAACAAGGCACTTAACACATCGAAACAGTATGTAAATTTCCAAAAGAATGCAACTGGCTGCCTCTCAAACCTTATGAAGACAGTTCTTGTCTGAACATACTGTAGCTTATTAACCATACATTTTGCAGCATTAATCATTGCATAGGAGGTAAATTAAATAATGAATTCCAACTTGGCAACTAGATTAGCTTATAGTTTCTTCTCTTTCTTTTAAAGGATAGCTTAAAATAGATCTATGGTGACACAACTTTGCTGTTCATGATTCATTAAGAACACAGTACAGTAATATTAATGAGTAATAAACCAGCGCTTATGAGGCATCTATCTGTATAAAAACTTATCTTTGGGTACCTCTGACATGAGCTTCAATATATGGATATCGAAGTCAAGAGCACTTCTTCATAAGACGCATTTTGTCAAATGAGTCAAAGGGGCTAAAGTATTGCAACACACTGGCATTAAAAACAATAATATCAGAAATCTTTACACAGAAACACAGAAACGGCTCTAACACAATGCATATAACTTATACTTGATTAAGACATGTAAACTCATTTATTAAAAGATTCCTTCTCACGCTTCCTTTCACTACAGGGGTGAGTGTGTTAAGACCAGCTTAAAATTTTTAATTAGTTTTATAATACAAAACCAAAACAATAACAAAGAGTTTAAAATATTTATGAAGCAAGACATGAACTTTTAATTTAAAATGAAATGATGACTTCTAGCACATAAATAAAAGACAGCTGACTTTGAGTTTTGAAGTAAACAAAGCCTGGTAGCTGTAGACTAGACACTAATGATTGTGATATAAGAGGTAAAAATGACCTGCAATTTTTCTTTGATCAGATTCTGAGCACTTTCCCATTGGGGAGGACCTAGAATGTCTTTAAAACAACTCTTTCCCATGAGAATTTCAGGGGTTTTTTTTTTGGCAAAAAAAAAAAAAAAAAAAAAAGAGCAACAACATCAAACAAACTTTAGAGAAACCTGAAATATCTTTCTAAAAGTAGCATTTGCATTCCAGACATGGCATATCGCCGCAAGGTGGCACCAGTAACACAGCAAAGAATCCAAGGCCACAAACCTGCCCCGAGATTTCAAGAGTTGACTCTCAGCCAGTCTTCTGTCTGCAGTCAACCCTGCTTCCTGAGATGCCAGTAACTCAAAGGACAGTCAAAATTAGCTCAGGAGGCACCAGGGGATGGATGCTTCCTTTTTTGGATCTAGTGGAGGAGCTCGGCAACTCAAGTTTGAGAGAACTCCCATTTCCATTGGGGAGCTGCAGGAAAAACGTGTGGCAGGTTGTGCGCGTGTTACGTATCGCAGGCGTTTCCCAGAAGTTACAGGAAAGTCAAGCACGGGCTCACAAAAACACAGGCTAAGACCTGCATCTGAACTGCAGAGAAAAGGTGCTGCAATAATTCACTGCTTTGCCTGGGGGTGGGGTTGCGGGGAGGGGAGCTCATACTTGCAATCCCAGCACTCTGGAGGCTGAGGCAGGAGGATTGAAAAATGAAAGTCAATCTGTTTATTCAATAAAAATGCTTGAAAAAACCCTTGCATTGCCAGGTCTGCCAAAGATGTGTAGGGTTCCCACTCTGGCAAAGACAGTCAGAGTTGAGAACCTTACTCTCTGGCCTTTGACTCCAAAGCCCTTTCCTTTACCTACCCAGTATCACAGAAAAGGAGACACCGGACACACACAGAATTTTAGCACCAGAGGATGGTGGTGGCCCCTCTGAACTGACCTGTATTGTGCTTTTTCCCCAAGCCATGTAAAGTTTCATTCTGAGACATCAAGGCTGACTGGCTTACACCTGGGGATGATCCCATCCCACCTCATCCCTGCCAATGTGACCGCCTCCTTCCACCCTGTCCGCCTCACCTCCCTCTGCTCCTGCGTTGACTAATGTGTAAAGGGGAACATTTTCTACTGTTAACTAATCTTCCAGTAGTTAAGAAGTCAAGGCAAGGATTGTGCCCTGAGCCACACGTTACATCAGATATTACTTATTTATTTATTTGCTTTATTTTTTATTTTTTCGAGACTGGGTTTCTCTGAATTGTTTTGGAGGCTATCCTGGAACACGCTCTGTAGCCCAAGCTGGTCTCGAACTCACAGAGATCCGCCTGCCTCTGCCTCCCGAGTGCTGGGATTAAAGGTGTGCGCCACCAATGCCCGGCTTACATCAGGTATTCTTAAGCCCACCAGATTTTTAAAATTCGTTCATATCAGACACAGCTGTCCCCTGTTCCTTCTTTTCCCCTCTGTGGTGATGGTGGGGTTTTTTGAGACAGGGGTTCTCTGTGTAACAGCCTTGGCTGTCCTGGAACTCTCTATAGACCAGGCTGGTCTGGAACTCACAGAGATCCACCTGTGCCTCCTGAGTGCTGGGACTAAAGGCGTGCACCCCATGCTTGGCTCCCCCTGTTCCTATGTAGCTGTGGATGCCTACAGCATGTTTAAATGCAGCACCATGTGTTCTGTTCACAGGGTGGAAGTCAAATTGCTCAGGGGTGGTGTATGTCCTTAGGAGCACTTAGGGAGAGAAGTACCTTGCTAAAAAGCAAGGACACAGTAAACCTTTGGGATTCAGTTTGCATTTCCTGCAGCGCACACTATTAACTAAGAAGAAACTGCTTTTAATAGAATGAGACCAGATATTCCTCTAGGCTCCACTCAAACACATCACAGCGGGTCCAAGCTAGAAGGGGAGCACACGCGTGTCCCAGTGAGTGTGATCATTACTTCACATGTGTGTTTTCAACAGTTAGCAGCCCTGAACTCCAGGCAGGCAGCATCTAATGTGCAGAGCAGGAAAAGCCCCACGCCTCCTGAGTTTCTGTCACAGAGACTGGAAAGTGAAAAATCCACACACAGGAAAAACCCATGGGCGTGTGATTCTCATGTTTCCTTGGAACACTCCTTCTTTAAAAATAAAATTATCAGGTAGAGGTTTAAAAAAAAGAGGGCAAGTCATACATAGTGCATTAGGGGGGGGTAGCAGCAAAGCGAATCCCAGACAGCACCCTAACCTTGCCCCAGACAGGGCAAAACAAAGTGCACTGACCTGTGGCTTGCCCTCAGTGAGCTGCTTGGTGGAAACCTGCTCCCACCATCGCTGCCTGTATTCACTCGTGGCTGTATATATCCAGAGATTTTATTCAAAACATTAGCAAACTCTTCTGACCTTAGAGGGGAAAAATCTGGAAAGACTGTGGAAGTGGAGAAGGAATGAGGACAGGCCTGACGTGTTCTTCGCCGTCTCTTTAAAATCCCGGTTTGGGGGCTTTGTCACCCTTGGATGAAGAGCTGCAGGAAAATATATGTTTCTTGGGCTGAATAAGAAAAAAAAAGCCAAAAGGTAATACTTCGTTCGTTGCTCCGATCTTTTGCACAAAATTTGGTCCACTTCATTTACCAGTCATTTCTCTGAGGATAAATAGGAAGCTGCATCTTTGGTTACAGCACGGACTCTTTGGGTGGAAAGGCTGCTGCCAAGTTGGCAGCTCACGTACACTTCTCACTGTCCTCCCCGATCTTCTGGACCCGGGAATACTTCTTGCATGATGACTTGAAGCAGCCAGGGGGCCAGGACAGTGGCCAGGAGAAGCAGCAAGGAATTGAGCCTTGTACGTTTTTCTCAAAAAAGTAGAAGATGGGGAACCACCAAGCCCGAGATAAGAAATTCGTCTGGGAAGAGACCTTCAAGTTCTGTTAAGGGTGGGAAAGAAAAACGTGCGATTGTTTATGACTTGCAGTCTAGACTTCTCAATTAAACGACATTTGTTTATTTATTTGTCTGTCTGTTTTGTGGCTTAGTGGGTGAGCAGATGTGAAATCCCATGGCACTGACTGCTGTCCTGCCTTCTCCCCAGTTCTGCTTTGTCCTTGGTTCCCATGTCCTGCCCTCTGTGGCTCGTGAGACCTCTGCTTGCAGTTCTCTGAGGATGAGGCCCAGGACTAGAAGTGGAGGGTATTCAAGAGAAGCAATTCAGGATGTGTTGTGGTCAGATAAAAGGGCCAAGGGGGAGTGAAAGGAGAACTCGGAAGGCTGAGTGTATTCAAGAAGACAGATGGAGAGTCTGCTCTCTGAAAGCATCTCGATCGTCATGGGAGAAGGCAAATGAAAGCAGAGGACTACAGAGTTGACCACCAAGCAGCAGAACCAAATAAAGGGAGCCATAGGAAGCAATTATTGGTGGACGCAAGGACTCTGAGTAGATCTAAGAGCTCTGAGTAGATCTTTCAGCAATGACTGGTCAATTGGTTGTAGATTTTTATACGCACACAGCACAGCACACCACCACCACCAACAGTGGGTAATCTATTCCAAGATAAATCAGCCATGGTACACAGACCAACTGAATTCCAGCAAGAGCATTACCAAGGCTAGAAAAGCTTGAGCGGGATGGGGGGTGGGGTCGGGGTGGAGGGTGGGGGTGGTGAGGCAACCCTGGGTCCAAATGGAGCCAAAAAGAGAAATGGAAAGCTTCCCAGGATGGAGGTGGGGGGGCAGAATTTGAGCAAGCACTTCAAGAATGACTGGGAGAAGAAGAAAGGGGGTCGTCGTGGAACAGGAATGAGGGGAGACAGACATGCTCATTACCCCGAGTATAATCAACAAGGCAGGAAGCCTCTCTCACCAAGCTGTGTCATAATGCTCTACAGAGAAGGTTCCTAGGTTCTCAGTTAACAAATACAGTCCTTCAGTTCTAACATAAATCAGCTGAATTGACAAAACATGCTGTCAATAATTTTAGTGTTCTTAATTCTCAGGGAGCCTGTATATTTGTGAAGTTCTTTTGCTGTCAGCTTTTTAAACAAGCAGCAGCGACAGTAAGTTTAGCTGAGCTGACCAAACCATATAGCTGGTGGCAACAGCAGTCCTTCCCACGAAGCTACCTAAAACCTCCGTATTTGGAAATGGGTCCCCTGCACATAGCAGACATTCCTCACCCAAGGGTCCTCACTGCTCTCACCTTTTCATTGGCCATGGAATGGTACCACCAAAACAGCCGTGTTGTGATATAGTAAGCAATGATCACATCGACGGTATAGTGTTCATGCGCCACGAGAATGCAGATGATCCCCGCGGCACTCAGCAGCCAGCAGACCAGATGGTACCACCAGAAGTGACGAGGTGAGTCTGGACAGCGGGAAAACAGAGGCAGTAAGATTCCCAGGGATGGACTCATGGCCTGACTGGCTAGCTGGGGCTGAAACCCAGGTCTTATGCATGCCAAGGAAATGTTCTCCCATCGAGCTACATCTTAATTTGTCCCAATAACCACGGGCAGGACAATTAAGACTGCTGTGGCATGAATTGCCTCAGTTTGCCCAGATAGAGTGAAGGCAGAGGGGATCTCATTAGCAGGTATGGCAATCATTTTTAGTAGGTTGATGGGTAACAAGACATATTCTAGGCCTTGCCTGTCTTCAACAATCTATTCAATGAGGAAGAGAATAGAGCTGTTATTTAGGTTGGCTAGAATTGACTCAAACTGGCTCACACACATGGCCCCACTGGAAAGAGAAATAGAAAGGCTCTAAAGAAAAGGTCTCTGAAAATAAGGGGGGGGCAAAATGAGAAAGCAGGGGTATTTGAGGTCTTTAGTTTACTTTTATTTCTTCAGGTGTGTATCTGTGGTGTTAAGAGAAGCTTTCCTTGAGAGGAGCCTTCCCGCCCGCCTGGTTCCAGATCCGCATCAGTCCCAAATAAACACACAGGAGGCTATATTCATCATGAAGCTGTTGGCCTTGCTTGTCTCTTACTGGCTAGCTCTGCTTTAAGTAATTACCCCATAATTGTTAATCTAAGTATGTCTCTTACTGGAGAATAGTTCCGGGGTCCTACCTCATGGCGTTACATCTCGACTCTCGTGTTTCTCCTTCCCAGAATCCTTCTGGACTCCTAGCCCCACCTATCTAGATTCCTATTGGCCAGCAGTAATTTATTGACATATACACAGGACTTCCCCAACAGTGGTGGGCAACGTCATTGCGAGGCGAACACGATTTGATTCTCAGCAGTTTTATACCACCACTGCCAATAGCAATGGTGCAGCTCTCCAGTGGAAAGATCTGGATTCTTGTCCCTCCATGTACCTACATTTAGCCTCCGGCTGAGGATACTGAGGCGTTCGTGCCACTGACCATATGGGGGAGAACGGTGGCGCTCATCGGGTTAACACGGTCACAACCCTAAGTCCTTCTCACATAAGTGTTCGTGAAAGACATGGCTGACACTGTATCCCTACTGTGTGCCATCTGGTCCTCTTCCTTTTCTTTCTAAAGCGTCACTGCCTCACAACAAGAGTTTAATGATCTAACAGACTAAAATCAACTTCCTATTACACTTTGTTTACATGCTCAATTGTAAATGAGTGGTTGAAGAGCAAAACGCTCGACCCCCAGAACTTCAGACAGCGGCCTAAACGGTTACCAGTTATCATTCGAACACAAAATGATTTTTGATCAGTCAGCTATAGCTCTGGGGATCCCAAGTGGACCGCAGCCCTAGTGATTCTCACTTCAGTTTCTTCCTCATCCTGCAGCCATGTTCCCCCAAGACAGCTTGCAGAATCCTAGGATTTCAATGCCAGGAGAGGCCTCGGGGTGCCGAGATCCAGTCCAGTGACTACTGCAATAGAAGCCTGAACACCGAGGCAACCGAGACAATGCCGAAGGTCTCATTAAATGTATTCTCCAGTTCCACACCCCCCAACCTCCTGAAGCTTCATGTCTGACCTACTTTCCTACCCGTAGGTCATCAGAGACTTATAAACAGTTCAAAATGTTTGCAGGCGTTAGAACTGAAATGGGTAAGCAGTAATGATGCGGCTAGAATGACTATTTTACTGCCGGTGGCACTGGAAATAGGGTTTTAAGGAATTCTGGGAAAACTTGAGTGTCCTATGAAAATGCATTTTCTATGATGCTACCACACTGAGATCACAGCCCACTCTCCTCTCTCCCTGCACCAAGAATAAGATTATCTTTTTTTTTTTGCTCCTATTTATTGTTGAGAAAGTATCTCGACATATAACCCAGGCTAGCCTTAAACCAACAATCCTCCCACTTCAGCCTCCTTCGTATTAAGATTACACGTACCCAGCTAGTAGAAGCTATTTTGAAGCCAAAATGGCACATGAAACTCCTTTTGGTTCACTCATTCTAGCCACAGGGATAATATCAAGTGAAAAGGTGACAACAAGTGGACTTCACTGTCTGTGTGGGACTCCCAGCAGAGGTGGCATTAAACAGAGACAAAGAACTTATGACAAGCACTAAGAAAATCCATTGAAGATGAGGCCAGACATTTAGTATTAACAGCCATGCTGTTTTCTGCAGGCACAGTTTTGAAAGACTCCAGGCTCCACAAGCATATTGGCGTAATTAAACCCTTTCATGTTAACTAATGAAATGGTCCTGATCCAGTACATTCTCCCAACTGAATTTTAATCCACTTTCAACAAGAGTGCTAGCAAGGAAAGAACCCAGAATGATCAAAAGGTAGGAGAGTAATCACATCTAAACAACACATCTTCTAGAAGCAGACTTCCCAAAACCATCGGAGACACTGCCTACTTAGGGAAACGAGGCAGGTATGACTCAGCCGGTGCAGACAGAGACTGCCCTGTGTACACAGAGGCCAGTGATGCAGCTAAATTTCTATCAATTTTGCATCAAAAGTTGCTAGAAAAAATATAATTCTTCCCATGACACATGTAAATGTATATAACTTAAAAAAAAAACCATGCCGCCAGGCAGTGGTGGCGCACACCTTTAATCCCAGCACTCGGGAGGCAGAGGCAGGCGGATCTCTGTGAGTTCGAGGCCAGGCTGGACCGACAGCCTCCAAAACAATACAGAGAAACCCTGTCTCATAAAAAAAAAAAGCCATGGGGAACTCTACGTTTCTACATATCATATATAGAAGCAATCATGGCTTGCCTTTCTACTTGCTCTGAAGGGAAAGATGAATGAAAACTATGCCTGGTTTATCATTAAGTAGACTATTCTTAAACAATCCCATAAGATCAGACAACTTGAACTGGCTTCTCTGTTTCTTCCTTCTTTGTGTGTTTGCTGCGTGTGTGTGTGTGTGTGTGTGTGTGTGTGTGTGTGTGTGTGTGTGTGTGTGCATGAGTGCATGTATGCCTGCCTGTCTGTCTGCCTGCCTGTCTGTCTGTGTGTGTGTATAAACTGACTGGAGAGGTCAATGCCAAGGATCTTCCTCAGTTGCTCGTTGCCTTAATTTGAGCTTGAGATAGGGTCTCTCACTGAACCCGAAGTTCACAGATCCAGCAAGGCTAGCTGCCAGCAAGCCCCAGGGACACCCCACCCCCCAATTCCACACTGTCTCCATACTCCCAATGCTGGAATTACAGGCATGTGCTGTTACATCCAGTTTTTAACAGGAACAGCAGAGATTCAACCTCAGGTCCCCTTGTTTTGCAACAGCAAATAATTTGCTGTCTGAGCCATCACCCCAGCTTAAAAATCTCTAAACCGAACCGAGAAATTAAGACCACAATCTCTGGAGTCAGATTGAGTTTCAACCCTTAATCCTAAAATACTGGAGTTGTATATGGTAGCCAGGTCACTTCCTGTATACACAGATAGAGGGAAGTGGAGGGGTGGCAAAGACTACAGAGTTAGAGGCGGGCGTTGGTGGCGCACGCCTTTAACCCAGCACTCATGAGGCAGAAGCAGGCGGATCTCTGTGAGTTCGAGGCCAGCCTGGTCTACAGAGCAAGTTCCAGGACAGCCTCCAAAACAATACAGAGAAACCCTGTCTCAAAAAACAAAACAAAACAAAAGAACATAGATTAGTGCTAGGCGTAGAACTATTACTGTCTGTGGTCATGTCACTTGCTCTTTAGATATTGAATAAACTGACACTAAGTTCCCAGGACATTTTCTTTTCACTACTTTATGTTTTTCAACACAGAGTGCCTTTACTACAATACGCAACACCTACCCACCCATCTTCTGTAAGCATCCCATGATATTGGAGAGTGTACCTCTGGACTAGAAAATGATGGACCCTCCATGGGTGGAACTTCCTTGGGCAACAGTTAGAACTAGAACCATAAATACACACTGCTATAACTAATAATTGTGGATTAGAAACAGGAATTCCATTAAATGAGGATTCCCTGGGACTTGTGGAGGGATGTAGTACACTGTCCCCCAACATGTAGTGTGCGTGGCCATGCGGGATAAGTACAGAACCCATGGGCCATTAATACAAAGGTGTTAAGAAGCCTACATGTAACTCAACCTGTTTGGAGTAATGAGAGGCCAAAGAGGGGAGGAAAGCAATGGTGGTGAACTGAGTCAGAAGGGCCCTCACAGGCTCGTGTGTTTGAATGCTCCATACAAGGCTGATGGAACTGTTTGGGAAGAATTAGGGGGTGTGGCCTTCTCGGAGGAGGTGTGGTGCTGGGGATTGGTTCTTGAGGTTTCAAAAGCCCATTTCATTCCTAGTTAGAGTGCTTTCTCTCTCTCTCTCTCTCTCTCTCTCTCTCTCTCTCTCTCTCTCTCTCATTCTCTCTCTCTGTCTCTCTCCTCTCTCTCTCTCTGTCTGTCTCTGTCTCTCTGTCTGTCTGTCTCTCTCTCTCTGCTTCATGGCTGTTGTTTACAAACGTTAAGTTCTTAGCCACTGGGATGTGAGGGCGATCTGGCTGCGACATCTGTCACCCCACTGATCGCCAGGGTTGATTCGGCTGATCTGGCTGGCTAGGCGGGTGTCCCCTTCCTCCCTCACCGCTCCATGTGCGTCCCTCCCGAAGCTGCACGCTCGGTCGAAGAGGACGACCTTCCCCGAATAGAGGAGGACCGGTCTTCGGTCAAGGGTATACGAGTAGCTGCGCTCCCCTACTAGAACCTCCAAACAAGCTCTCAAGTTCTTAGCCACTGTTCCAGTGCCATGCCTGCCTGCTGCCATGCTCCCAACCATGAGAGTCATGGATTCTACTCACTCCCTGAAACTGTAAGCAAGTCCCAAATTAAACTGTTTCTCTTATAAATTACTTTGGTCACAGTGTCTCTTTACAACAACAGAAAAGTAACTAAGACAATGCCCAAAGCTCTTTTGTCCATGCCAAGCAAAGAGAACTGAGAGAAGCTTCTGGAAACACTGGGCACAGGACATTTTGGAACACTCCACAGTGATGCAAACATGGGAAAGAAGCATTGCCATTCAAAAGAATGGAGGGAATGGTTAGCACTCAGAAAGCAACACCAAGGAGTCTTTCAGGCAGAGAGAACCAGCAACAGCTCTTTAGTGAGCAATGAGAGCCACTGGAAAGCACTTAGGACACAACACAGGAGGGCTGTGCGTCCCAGGCCAGCCTATGCTATATAGTAAGACCTCATTTCAAGCAAGCAAAGCAAGTCAAGTTGAAAAATTAAACAACTAGAAACATTAAAACAACGTGCTACTACAAAATACCAGGGCTTTACATAATGGGAACTCGGTGTATTGCTATGGAAAGAGATTCCAATTCCTTGTCTGTGTGCTTCATAAGGACGAGATGTTCCACAAAATACCCTAGCACTGCAGAGGCAGCAGCTGGGAAATGATGAATGGCCACATTGGAATAAAATAGGACAAGTATGTGAATAAAATTGAGGAAATCCATGTGAATTATTATTGAGGAAATACATGTGAATTATTGGGAATCATAGGACAGACGTGTCTGGCAACTAAGTCAAAGGTCATTTGATTTTGTCTTAAGAGTGTACTGGTCTTTTTCTAAAACATTCATCATTTCATTTGTTTTTCACTCCACCTCCCATTCTGAAAAAAATTTTTGAGACAAGGTCTCACTTTATAGCCCTGGCTAGCCTAGAACTCACTATGTAGACCAAGCTGACCTTGAGCTTATAATATTCACCTGCCTCTGCCTCCCAAGTTCTGGGATTGAAGGTGTTCACCATCATGCTTGCCCTCTCTGGTCTTGGTATTAAGAACTTCCTGCCTTTCGAAGCATTAAGGAAGAAGGGGGTATCTGGAGGCATACTAGATGCTAGAAGAAACCACAGCCAGGGCTTCTCACCCTTGAGGCGTCAGGTCACAAATGACTAGGTGGAATGACAAAGTGTATGTGTGCACAGTGTTTACATCTGTCCCTCTCCCAACTGTCATCCCAGCACAAGGGATCCCATCCTGAGTCAGTCGGGGCCCTGGGACCCCGCCCACCACAGCTGTCAGTTCCGTGAGAGATGAACTATGACTTACATTCTTTGATGAACAAGTAAGTGAGCGTCAGCACAACTGTATGACCGCTGAAGAGGAAGTCTCCACACAGGATGTGCGATCCCGTTATGGACAACCCACCGCCAGAAATCAACCGGAGAATCCGCTGTATCTTTGCCTGAGAGTCTCCGTTGAGCTGAGGGACACAAAACACAGGGGAAAGCTTACAAGATGCTCAGAACCATGCTTCAGTTAGAAAAGACACCAGGTTGGGATCTTTATCTGCTTTTTACATTTTCTCTTTCAACATAAAAAGTCAAAAATATTCCAAGAGGAAACACCTGAAGGTTCTCCTCATTATGCTGGCAGGATTTATTGACATGCTTTAAATTATTCAGTATGTTACTAACAATATGTTTTAGTGGTGTTGTGTCCTTGGGCAAAGCTTTTAAAAATATTAATAACCAATGACCTCACCACTATGTGCTAAAAAGCAGACTGGAGCTACTTTGCTTCCTTTCGGCAGAAGTCAGTGAGGTTGGGGCCATCATCACATCTATTGGTACCTTGTGCTAAGTGGGCGGCATCAAGGGTACAGACAGCCTCATTGGTGTATGCTAGAAACAGGTTACAGCATACTCATCCCATAATTTAAGTAGGTTTGGAAGTGACACATTAGGGACTGAACCAGCAAGCTTTCACAGCTCTGACCAGGAAAGCCTGCCACAAGCAATCTAGGTTCTACACTGGGGTCAAGGACACAAAACAGCCTTTCTAAATCACAATGATGTCATAAGAAATAATAACCACCTAGGGCAGGAATGTCCAGCAGTAGTTTAACACTGTACAGCCTATAAAAATTGAAGCATGTAGGAAAGAGTAAGTCAGAATATGTGGCAGGAACTTAGAAGAGGCATGCTGGGAGGCTGGGGGGTGCAGTTGCAGGGGAACACAATATGGAGGAAATCAGGGTTGGGTCATCTAAGAATGGCACCCGGGAAGCGAGAGAGTGACAGTGGCAGCCTACAAGTAGGAGAAACACAGAAGGGCTGGCACTGACTAGCCATTTGGGATCTTGGGGACAGGTTGGTGGCATGCCTGCTTTCGCTGTTCTCAGATCCCTGCCTCTGAACTCTGGTCCCCGAAACACAGCAGTCCGGCTGTATCAGTGGTTAGACTGGTAGAGCAAACACTGGTGTGTGTGTCTTGCCAGAGTGGACACCTGATTGTGAAGGAGGGTGTGTACAGGTGGATGTGGGGAGCAGGTAGCTCACAGCCCCGCCCAGCACATGAAGGAACCATACCCAGGATCTTTGCCTAAAACATCTCCTTCAGGGGGACGTTACCATGACTACAGGAAGCCACCTGCTACTAAGAAACCTGGGTAAAAAGGCAAACATGCAGCTGCCCAGCTCCTAATAAACTGCTACACCGAAATGACTCAGAGCAGAATTGTGTAGCGAGGGGCTGAGGCTTCTGAGACATTTTGCCTTACGGTTTGCTTCAAGCATGCACAGATGGCAAAAACACGATGAGTTCCCAGCCATGGACAGTCCTCACTAAGATCTGGGTGAGGTCTGTCACATGTAAAGATTAGCTCTACAGTAGCAGCGTGATGCTATTAGGAGGCAGCCATTAATCGCCAGGCATGGTGGTGCATTCCTTTGACTCCAGTGCTCACGCTCCTGGAGGCAGAGGCAGGTGGATCTCTGAGTTTGAAGCCCACCTGGTTGGGGGTGAAAGGACTAAGAGGGAGGAGGGAGCACATGTTAAGCTATGGAACCTTCTGGGAGATCTTTGGCTCTCTGCCGCGAACCTCATAGGGATGTGGGGCCCACCCCTTTCTCCCCCCATCTTCTCTTCTTCCTGGCTCACAAGGCTGGCAGTTGCGTTGTCCCTAGCTCTTACGTTGCCTTCTCAAAGGCCCACAGAAGCCTGCTGGCAGATCACAAGACTGACTTCAGGAACTCCCCAAAAGGGATTCAGATGAAATATATCAGATGAAGCACCAGGGCCTTGATATGAGAAATACAATACAGTCATCGGCACTGTCAGGGGCCATCATCCTTTTCCTGTCATGAGACTGGTATAAAAACTACCCACAACAGAGCAAACAGAAAGGGGCACACATGATGTCCAAAGCTGCATCCCCAGACAAAAGAACTGTACCGCTTATTACAATATATTAGCATTTCCTCCTATTTTATCATTACTTATTTTAAATTCTTTACTGTGCCTACTTTAGAAATTTAATCACACACACACACACACACCGAAAAGTATACACAGTGTGCAGTACTATCTGCAGGTTCAGATACCCACTGGGCATCTTGGGCCACGCCTCCTGTGAAAAAGACTGCAAGGGCATTCCCGGTGGCCTTTGGTTGGATAGTTATTGAACAGAGGAAGAACCTCTCTTGCTTTCCTTGCAAATTTTGTGTGGGGAGGCACACAGAGACCATTGCACCCGCACACGCTACAGCAGGCATGTGGGATTCAGGGGACAACCCATGTGAGTTGGCTCTTTTCTTTCACAATGTGTGTCCCGGGGATCGAACTCAGCTCACGGGCTTGGCAGCAACGCCTTTCTCTACCCACTAAGCTATCTCACTGGTCCACTCCGTTAGCTTAACCCTTACACCCTTTCTATCACTGGTAATGAGATGAACATTGGGATTTAAAAATGCTGAGGAGAACTTCATGAGAAGAAAGGAAGGGAAGCAAGCAGGGCAAGCCTAGGAAAGGGAGGGAGGACAGTGAAGTCAGAGGGCTGGCGGGTGACCTTGGTGATCTTTTCCAGGCCTACCTCAAGTCCCTGAGGCCCCTGTACCACACATCACACAACACTCATGCCTACTCATCCCCTTGTTTTCAGACACCAGTCCAGGCAGCTAGCTACCAGATGGAAAGTTAAGCTGCAGAAACCTAAGAAAGAAGAATAAATCAAAACACCCAAACATATGCGCCCCACCATTCTTAAGGGTTCCTCCAACTGTGACTCCCATAGACTACTTCCCACAAAAGCAAACTATGTTCAGACCAGTCCAAGGGGGCTGCAGACAAACAAGAAAACTTTCACCACTGTCCCTCCCATTAAAAAGAAAAAAAGCCCTTTGACCCACAGCCAGACAGTATGCAGAGGAGAGACCTTAGAACACCCAGCCATAAGTGGATGTCTCCATCAAATCCCTCCCCTCAGGGCTCAAGGAACCATTGGCAAGTGGAGACAGAAAGACTGTGAGAAACAGAGGGGCTGAAAGACACCAAGGAAACAAGACCTTCTAAACACAGCAAGACATACATACCTATGAACTCAGAGACTGAGGAAACTCGCACAGGGTCTGCACCAAATGGGGTCTGGAGCCGAGAGCAGAGTGGACACATGCCCCCATCCCTAACCCAGAAGCTACCTCCAATTGGTAATCACTTGCAGAAGAAAATTTCATTTTCTTCAAGAGAGTTCCACTGGGCAAAAAAACTACTCTTAAAGGTAGGCTGAATGCCCACAGTAGATGCCAACAGAAAATAAACTCAATAGCATCTTTAGATGCTCAATAGCATCTCATAATGTCACGCCAGGGCTTTTTCTTTATTTTATTTCCTTTGGGAGGGGTTGTTGTTTGGTTGATTTTTCAAGACAGGGTTTCACTGTGTAGTCCTGGATGTCCTAGACCTTACTCTGTAGACCAGGCTGGCCTCGAACTCACAGAGATCCACCTGCCTCTGCCTCCTAAGTATTGGAGTTAAGGGTGTGTACCACTCCTGGCTCCTTCTTCTCTCTCCCCTCCCCTCCCTTCTCCACGCTCTCCTCTCTCTCTTCTCTCTTCATGTCTTTTGTGCAGCATATAGTATAGAGCTTCCTGTTTTGTGTTTTTACAGGATTCCTGAGTATACAAGCGAGTGAGTCTCCATGTCTATATGTGTTTCTTATGCCTTTTCTTGGGCTCTTTTACTTCTGTTCTGTTCTATTCTGATGTTTATTTTTGTTTTATCTACCATATCTATCATATTATATTTCCTCAGAAGCCTGTTTGCTTTCTGAGAGAGATGAAAAGGCCATGGATCTGTATGGGGGATGTGGGGCGGAACTAGAAAGGATAGAATGAAGGTTTATATAAAAAAAATCAATTTTCAATTTAAAAACCTCACATAATACACATGTATGATAGTTTTAAATAATAAAAGAGAAAAATTATATTTTTTTAAAAAGGAAAACCCTTTGGACAAGTACAGCCATGGTGAGTGAGGGTAAAGCTCACCCTACAGGGCTTCCATGGGAAAGGAACATGTCTCTATCTCTATAGAGAATGACTTAGAAAAACAAGATCATTTCACAACTGGGCCAACTTTCACTTAGGCACACACTGAAGAAAACAGAGACTACGCTGTAAGCAGAAGCTTGGGTGGGTGTATGAAGTAGACTAAGAGAAGGCTCAAAGGGGAGAGGAGGCCAAACCTGCCGGCCTAGCTGCAAGAGCCAGCGATGAGTGATAAGTTGTGCAAGCCGTCCGTCCGTTTCTAGACAGGGACGCCCTCTCACAGAGAGAGGTTCCGGCATGTGCCGGTCTGTCATTGCTCACTCTGAAGGACATTCACCAGCCGTTCCAACACAGGAAACAGGTAGCTATCGAAGACCCTTGTGGCCCGCCACAAGCGTCGAAGCAGCTTTGGGCCAAATTTAGAATGCAACTTTGGTTCCTGCTCTCTATATACCACATCTCCTTCAGCTGGACAGGGAGAGGCACGTGTCCGCTTACAGATCAGGGTCCCAGGCAACTGCAGCCTCTTCTCGGGAGGGCCTGCCCTCTGAACGTGGCTGGTGATGAGCAGGAACCCCCCTACTGGCGGGTCTGCAGCTTGGTCCTACCACAGCATATTCACTGCTCTGGCTTTGGAAACCTGCAGCTCATCCACGAAGGGCGACCTCCAATCTGCCTTTCTCTCATCAGTGACCCTTCCCTGCTAACCTCATCCAATCCTAGGAAGGGTTTGCCTCCCTCTGCGGTGGCCACCTCCCCACTGACCACACTGTAATACTGTTTGCTCATTATGCTTCTGAGCTCGCATGTCTCAAATTAGTTTCAGTCAAACCCAGTCAGTGTTTAAATTCAATGTGTGCACTGTTTTAATTACAGACACACTCTGCTTTGATGGCTTTAGGAAATTACTGCCTTGCCAAACCACACCTATATTTGGTAAGGGAGATGGCTGGTTTCTCCAGATCAGCTCCGTCCTCCTTCCCTCTTGACATCTGCTTAGTGTTTGGTGAAGTCTAATGTTAGCCCTGGTTCCCCTGTCCAGAAAGCACATGATCGGCAAGTTTCCATTCCATAGAGCAGAGTGCACAGGGGTCTAAGGTGAAGAACGGCCCTCCTGTGCCCGGATGCTGTGTGAAGACACTAACTCCCCTTCTAAGACAGCAAAGCCTACTCATCTTTCCAATGGTTAATCATCTGGAGTGGTCCTTGACTTTTCCTTTTCAAACCTTATCCACACCATTAGTTATGTTCTGTCAATCTGACCTGCAAGATGTGTCCTGGATTAAATGACATCAATTCCACAATCGTGACCACCGAGGCACACAGCAGTGAAAACCTTTGAGGCCTGTGGCGGTGCTGCTGACCCTCCCCCTGCCTGCTGTTCCTTGAACCCAATGCAGGTAAACTGTTTTCCTGGCCTGTGACTCCCACCCCACCCATGTGGCTAGCTCCCTCCCTTTCTTCCTGTCAAGGTTATGTTTTTTAACAGCTTTTCCTGACCTTTCTGTAGAAAAGCTCCTATTGTTTTTCTGTGGCAATCACTCGACTTAACATCATGTGATACACTGTGAATTTATTGATTATTTGCTCCTTGAAAGAATAGAAGCTCTAGGGGAGGGCATGTGCTTTGGTCACTACAGTGCCCAGGACTATAAGTGCCATCCTTAAAGAATGAATGCCTCAGATATATAAATAAGTGAAGACACCAAAGTCAAACGTCAGATTTTTAGATAACAGAAAAACAATTCTTAGCCGGGCGTTGGTGGCGCACGCCTTTAATCCCAGCACTCGGGAGGCAGAGGCAGGCCTGTCTTGAAAAATCAACCAAACAACAACCCACCTGCAGGGGAAATAATAAAGAAAAAAAAAGAAAGAAAAGAAAATCAATCCATTCTTCCATTTTATGTGAAAATGTAAAATCCTTAATGAACACTTTGTTTCCCCCAATCTAAAACAAATTAGACAGTATGCTGGGTTGCAACACAGACCTGTGAAGGTTATAGAGGAATGTGGGAAAGAGTGGGTGCTTTGGGATTGCTCTATTGATTGGTTCCTCTCTGTGAGACCCAGAGGCTTACCTTTGGAGCACACTGGAAGTGCATTCCCGGCACAGGTAACGTAGTGACATACATCGTTATGCAGCGATACAGGTATAGAGTTCCAATGATAAAGAAGAATCTGCGCCCCACTATGGACCTAAAGGCAACACAGGGATAGGGAGAAACAGGTTTACCAGTTGTCTGTCTTATTATTAATTCATTTTACTGGAGGGGGGGAAAGAGAGCAGGGTGTCACTCCAGTCCAAGCTAGTCTGGATCATACTATATACCCAAGTTTTGCCTCAAACTCATGATCCCGCCTCAGCCTCTGAGAGCCAGGATTATGGGTGCAAGCTACCATCCTTGTCTCCCTGTATTTCTAACGCAAAGTAAATCAATGTTTAATTGACTGAAAATAACAGAAACAATGGAATTAAACAAATAAAACCCAATTTTACAGAATTTTTTAAGGCTTGTGAGCTGCCCATCCCATAATTCCATAGTGAGACTGATTCCACCTCCATAAAGATTTAGACACTGAAGTATATTTAAGTCATTTGGGGGCCTGAAGAACTAAGAATGTGGGGACATGGGAAACTTAAGATCGTGAAGAGTCTATACAGTCTCCTTTCCTAAAAACTGTCTTCCTTTGCCAGGGAATTCAATAAACCTCCCTCTGTTTTCAGTCAACTCACCGATTAACAAAACCCTCTAGGGAACACATCAGAGGTGTAAGTGAGCTGTGGCCATAGAGGAATAATCTAATGGATCAGGTGACATCACATAATTGGATACACAGGGAAATGTGACAACTCATTAAACCCTAGTTATGTAAGCAAGATTTTTAATTGGGACCATCCAGAGATACTCTGACAATTTAGCCATGAATTGTTTTCTCTGACTGGATAGGTTTTCAGTGAGTTATATTGTCAACATGTCCAACGTAACTACTGGATTGATTCGCTATTATCTTATTCACTATTGATTTTTAAATGGCAAAAGAAAATAAAAAGGAGCACAAGGGTTAGAATTGTTTGCCTTTTTCTGAACAAGGTTGCACTATCATTTATTGAAGCATTATTAAAACATTATTTATGACAGCCACAAAATGGAAACAGTCTACACGGCCACCAGCCGATGAACAGATAAAGAAGAGACCATGTGTATATACAATATCATACTATTCAGACATGGGAAAAAGAGTTCAATCCTGTCATTTGCGACAACTTGGATGGGACTAGAGGCCATATTAAGTCAGGCATAGAAAGTTAAGCACAGAATAATTTCACCCCTATGCCAAACTGAAAAAAGGTGGTCTCAGAGGGGCTGAGCACAGGGGCTGTGTGGGAAGGTTGATCAATGTGTACTAAGTCACAGTTAGGAATTAGATGTGCTGAAATATTGCATCTAGCAAAATGCTACTGTTAACAATGTACTCTGTATTTCAAAAATAAGTTAGAAGGCATTGAGTAAAGTAGGCTGGAGAAACAGCTCAGTGGCTAAGGGTCTTGGCTGCTCTTACTGAGAACACGGGTTCAATTCCCAGCACCTACATGGCAGTTCACAATTATCTGTAACTCCAGTTCCAGAGGATTCTGTGGTCTTTGTGTGTCCCAGACTTGCACATTATGCTTAGACATACATGCATGTAAAATACCCATATACATAAAATAAAGTAAAATTTAAAAATATTTTAATAAAAGTGTCTAAAGAGAGGCATGCTTGACTTGGAATGTCACATAGTACACACATGAATGTATACTTAATACCTCACTATGGAATCCAGTTTTGTAAGTGTTTATGTACCAGTGAAAAATTAAAAGGACTGGGGATGTGGTTTATATGTTAGAATATTTGCTGTGTACAAAAAGTCCCTGATTCGATTTCTAATACTGCATAAACCAACATCTTGCATCTGGGACATCGCAGCAGGGAGGATCAATAGTTTAAGGTCAACACTCACTACATAGTGAACTTAAGGCCAGTCTTTATCTCAAAAATCAAAATAAAACATAATAAAATTAAATGGAAAAGGAGATGGGTCAAGAAATAAAGACAAAATGTTTTCTTGACTGCGGCTCTAGGCTCTTCTGAGTCTTCAGCCTAAGCCTGTGGTTCTAGAAGCCGACTGAGCTCACAACCTCCAAACCCCAGGGCTGTGCCCACAGCATGACTGCCTTGTGGGCACCGGCATGGGAGGAAAGGGCCTGTGGGCTCTTGCTGGGTTCCAGCACACGGTGACAGCCCCCCTTCTGGTACATCTGTAAGTGCTGGCTTTGAACACGGCAATGAGTGGGAACACACTGCCCACCTCCTTTTAAACTTCTCCAGAACATTCCACCGGGTTTCTCACCCTCACAGCTCTCAAGCTTTCCAAACCATCACTGACCAGAAGACTCTAGAATAACAGGCAGCCTCAGAGATGAGGAATGTTTTAAGTTTTCTCCAAGACACTGTTCTTACAGCGACCAAGGTCAAGTTCCGGTAACTGCTAGGACTTCTAATTTAAAAAAATATACATATAAATATCTATTTTAGTTGTCTGCCACAGATAGCTATTTCAAGAACATTCTAGGGTTTCAGGTGAGGGAAAATGAAAGAAGTAGGCTTACTAAAAACTTGGGAACCTAGCTTTGTTGTCTTAGTACTGAAAAGGAATAGTCAACAGAGCTGGCTGTTTTCCCTTGGTTAAGTGAAAGCAATTCACTCTGTGATTCAGCCCCAAACCCCGTCCCCAGGAGTGCTGCTCTGAATTGTGCTTCATGCTATTAGACAACAAGAAATAAGGAAACATTATTATGAGTCAATTACATTCATTCCAGCGTTCTGTGCCCAGAACAGAGGACTCACTTAGGTGAAACACTCACTCCACAGTCTTACTTAGAAAAAAGAACTCCTCATGGTGTGTTTTCCCTCTGAGTTTTTGAAAGAAAAAGAGACAGGAGAGTTGTCTCCATGGTAGAGGTTTGCCTGGCATGTGTGAGATCCTGGGTATGAGAACCAAGAAGAGAATAAAGAAAGAAATAAAATAAAATAAGGACATATTGAGAGAGGCTGGGATGGGCAGGATTTCTCACTTGGCTAGAGTATTGAAAAAGCTATGAGAATTATTCCACCAGTTACCAAAATCCAAGGCCCAAATCTACTTCAAAAATGAAATGTCAAACAAAATCAGCGCTGTTGGTTACCTTAGCAGTGGGTATAAGGTACATGGCCTATGTAAGCGACCCTGAGTGGTTTTCTTTTAATGGATATTTTCTTTTTAATCAACATGTAGCAAATGAACATGATTCATAGGAGACAGTGAGAAATTTCACTATCAATGTGTAATGATCAGAGCTTTCCTATTGTTCCTTTTTTATATTTTTCTTTGTTGGCTGGGGATTTAACCCAGGGCTTCATGCGTGTGAGTGAAGGGGATGGTGTACTGAACAACATTCCCAGCCCATGCCCATGAGTTTTGACATGGTTATAACAAGATCTCGCATAAACCAAGAAGAAGGCTCAGGTGCAGGACAGAATCCAGTTCCGCACTTGACTAAATAGTTCTTCACACAAATGTGAATATGAACAGCTTTTACATACAGATTGAAGGAGAAAGGGGCCATCCATAATCTATGCAAGCCCTATGATGGTCCGTGTCAATTCCCAGACACTAAAAAGAAAACTAATGGTCAATAACTACAGCCTTGCTTTTAGCATGAAGAATGCCACAATGACACATGCGGCAGCAGTTCATTTCTAAGTAACAGGCAACTGGTAGCTCTGCCTCTTATCTAAAAATATTGAAAAATTTTGAGAGTCACAATAAGGAAAACTGCATCTGGGCAGCTTCAGTTTGCCATGCAAGTTTTGAAAACTACAGGGTTGCTTTTGGCAAGTCTTTGAGAAAAGCAGGTTGAACTCTTCTAATTACAAAGCAACAGTCAACTTGATTCTCTCTTCTAAAAGCGACCTTGTGGCACTAACACGGAACTCTTATTTGACTTTGGATTTTGAAGCTGTATTGAGGGGGTTCCCATGCTTCACATTTTTTCAAACCCTAGATTGCAGGTATTTTGTTCAAACGTATATTTTAGGGACTTAATTCATGGGATCCAGTAGAAGGCAAACACCTAAATGACAAACGAGAGGATGGAGGAATTGTGTGGCCTCCAATTTTGTGTACAGAGAAGCAGAAATAAGCATGTCAGAGCGATGTCCAGTGAGAAATCTTGCTTCCCACTACCCGGTTGGTACAGTTCTGATACGGACTGACGAATGCAGGGCTGGACTACTGAGCCATGTTCTCCTTCGGGGTGCCAAGAGGAAGGCAGGACGGTAAGTTTACTTTAGAAATCTAAAACCCAAACCACCGAAGCCTAGTTCCAAATTCAGCTTCTTAAACAAACACTGGTTACTTTGTGCAGGAAAAGGACAAGAAAGGAAAGAAAGCTTAAGAACGTTTGCCTTTGCCTCCTGAGTGGAATTAAAGGCATTTCCAAGCACCTTGATTTAGGGTAGGAATATGACACCACATCACTGGAAACCGGGCTCTGCACTGTAAATTGAAAAACCAGTCCCCCTCCATAAGACATATGTGGTCACTCAATGAACACTTATGGAATAGTAGCTGAATCGATTCAATTATGTTTATCTACAATTTCGTTCCTCAAATGGCTGGGTAAAACTAAATGCCTTAAAAGAATCTGAGAAAGATAAAGATAATTTTAGTAACGCATCATCTTTTAAAAAAAAACCTAAATCCAAATATGTTATCAGTCAATACTTACTTGTATCTCAGAAAAAGCCACTGGGTGATCCACAGTCCAACTAATACAATCCCATTTATTTCTGATACAGAAAATGCCCATTTGACCCGGTCCACATAATCAAAAAATTTGTCTGGGAGTGGAGGGCTGAGCTCCTTGGGAGGGACCCTCTCATGCACGACTGTGATCATGACAGTTGTCAGGACAAGGTTGAAGAGAGCATATATGAAGGCAATGCCCGTTTTCCACCACTCCAGGGGAAACTTGTTTCTGGAGTCAGTGGGCATGGAAATCTGGATGTAGTCCGGGTACTTTTTGGCACCCTTTCGTAGTCCGTTGGATAAGCTCTTGGGTTTACCATTGCCATTTTTGTTTCCTTCTTCTACAGTGTCAGCAGGGCCTGTGTAAGTGTTGGTAGAATCGTTGGTCTGATTTTCCAAATGACCTTCAAGTTTTGCTGTCTCTATGATATCCATTGTCTGTCAACCTTCAGAACTATAGGAGATGGTAAGGTTCTTGGTCTCCGTGGAAACTTAACTCTCTTAATTCCTTCTGCTTCCAAGATCAACATGGACTCTTAGAATTGATTGTGTGTGCTAATAGGAAATGTAGACGGCCTCTGGGTTCTCAATTCTCCCCTACAACAATCTGCTGTGTACTCACACAAGGAAGGCAATTCTCTTTCCCACAGAAGATGCTATTGTCCCTCCTGAGAACAAAAGAAAATGAGGTGAGAAAGGGCTTGTTTAATTACCAACCATTCAAAATGTAAACATTCTCAAAAGTAAGGAAACTAATTAATACCAAAGTGCTTGCTCTACCAAGACATCATCAGATGCTGAGATTGGATTTATTTATTATACAGTGCTGGATCGTTTAATTTTGGGACTCTTGTCTCTCCTTCAGCTGATGTGAGCATAGATAAGAACATCTTAACAATCAATTCCCTGTTAATTTCTTTCAATAAAGCCAGGACCTAACATTTCGGACACTCACAAATTGCTAACCATGAAATCATAATATGCTAGAACCTGTCCAGAGACACCACTCCTTCCTGATAAGGAAGGACTAGAAATAGAATGGATCTTTTCTAAGAAAAAAGGGGCAAATAGTGGGACTTGGTGGCTCACACTAATGACAGCATTCAAGTGGCTGAGGCAGGAGGAGTACTGTGACTTTGAAGTAAGGGCAACATAGTAAGTAAGGTTCAGGCTAGCTCAAGCTGAAGTGCGAAACCCTGTTTCAAAACAATAAAATAGAAATGTAAAGGATTTGAAAACTCTGGGAAATCACTGAATTCTTATGTCTGCATTTTCCACAACAGATCTGTTTCTGACTTTCCTATTAAAAACCTATGACTCCTTTAGTGACTTCTTTTATGAACAGACTGCAAAGCAACACATTCACATTCAACATTTAAAACGATGGTGCCTCAGTTTATCCTAGATATGACACACACACAAAGCATTCAAAGTCAACAACCTTCAAAGCAACAAGGTCGGGAGATGTACAAAACCTTTTCTCATTTGGGAAAGGGATTGAAGTCGCCATAAGGAGACTTCCTAAAATTGCCACAGGAAACTGATGACATTTTGATATAATCACAATTTCTACCAAGCAACAGAAACTGGCATTCAGTGGTCCCTCTTGGGACACTTACCTACTGTGGCCGAGGAAAGACACCTCTGGCTGAAGTACCACAAGCTCCAAGGAGCAGGGAGTCCTTACCACTCCAAGAGAAGCCGAGACTCTTATACTAGCTTGCACTATAGCCCAGCTGTTCCCAATTTAGGAAAGCAGCATTTCAGTCAGGCCCAACCACCAGCCCAACCACCTGAGGGGTTCCGGAACCCTGTAATTAGTCCCCACCCTGAGTACACTGCCCAACTTTAGCACACTTCTTCCAAATTTAAAGGCCTCCTTTTCAGGGTAAATATGGTTAAATTCAATGTAGTGACAGCTAAGCCTTTAATGGATGTAAAAATAGAAAACTGTAAGTGGTTCAGCTAGTACATCCAGGTATTCCCTTGACACGATGGTGGCAAACTACAAGAATTTACTGTACACTTACTATCTCAGCACTGAGGAATGCAGGAGCAGATGAAAGGGTTTTGTGTTGTTTTAAAAACAACACAATGCATGAACCAGGGAGATGGTTCAGCAGGTAAAAACCCCTGCTGTGCAAGCATAAGGCTCTGAGTTTGGATCCCAAGCACCAACTTAAAAACCAGGAACGGTGGAGCTAGCCACTAACTCCAGTGCACACGTGGGAGTGGGCACAGCAGTTAGAGACCTGTGAATCCTCTGGGCTCGATGGTCAGCCAGTCTAGTTGAATTAGTGAGATGTAGATTGACAGTCTTGTCTCAAAAACTAAGGTGCAGAATGTCTAAGGAAAACATCTGATGTTGACCTTTGGTCTACATGTGTGTGTATGTATGTGTGTGTGTTTGTGCACGCATGCACAAACACAGCCAAAAGCACCTAGCTTAGTTGAAGAGCTAGAGCCACAACAAGGCTTTGGGAGACCAGGAAATAATCAGATTGTGAAAGGAAGGACTGAGATGAGCTGGCCTCGAGATAAAATGGTAGGTTTATTTGTTACACGTCCCTCTCCTCGGGCAAGAGGCATCCATTTTCAGACACAGCCCACCCTTGAGATAGACACACCATGGGGGAAGTTGACATGGTAGGGACAATGAGTAGCCATGAGGGTTCATCCACTTCCAACAGCTCACCTTCCTCTGTCCCTTTGAAAACTCTCCCAGCTACTGAGGCATTGGAGAGGGCAGGGAAGTCAGTGTTCCTCCAGCCTGACCAATGTTCTCTGCAGTGCCTGTGGAAATGTCAGGGGAAGAGTACGTGTCTCAAAGAGAAGCCTCGGCAAGATGACTCCAACAGCAACTCTCTCCACCATGGACACCCTCTTCTGAGGAAGAGATACCCAGGCCTTCAAGCAGCAACGGGTGGTTTCTACCCACTCCATCCTAGTTGGCTAACATATTCAACATTCCACATGTGCTCCTAGCCTGGTGTTCATGCATACGAGAAGCTTCATCAGTGGACATAAAGGTGAGGTGGCCTTTGTAAGGTAGTCATCTAGTTCTAGAACACAGAATGTGGAGAAGAAACTCCAGCCACTCTTTTCCCCCAAGAGGAAGAACTCCGGCACCTACCTCAAGGGACTACTACGAATTTGACTGAAATAATGATGAGGCTGACTGTGAGTCCTTGGGAGGTTCTAGAGAACCACTCGGTGAGTACAGTACCCATTGGTTGTCATTAACAATACGACTGGTGTTTTCCTGGGGATTTCATTATGGTTAAATCCACACACAGCACATTCGTCTGTGCCATCCAACCACCAGACTCAATGTTGTGAAGATGATGACTATGTCATACTCATTTTTATAACTGTCCCTTCTTCTCATTGCCTGAGAAAATGGCAAAAGCCACAGTGGTTCCTCTTTGGGTGGCAATTCCATGAGCTCAATTGGGCTACCACACCAGAGCACAAGCATGTGCCAAGCTCCCCAAGTACCATGAGTTAACCTAGATAACAAGGAGACAGCTTAAGGTCTTTAAAAACCCACCTCCCTTGAGACAGCAAATGCAAAATGCTGAGATTTGTTTTGGGTACATCAGTATGATTCTTTTAATTTTTTAACTACAAAGTGGGATATAATACAGAATTTTAAGTACTGTTTATAATTAGGAAATGATTATAGTAAAATATACCAGAAGCACATTTTAAGAAGCGATAATCAGGCTGGAGAGATGGCTCTGTAGTTAAGAGCATCGGCTGCTCTTGCAGGGAACCTGGGTTTGTTTCCCAGAACGCATAGGTTCATCTATCTCCAGGAGATCCAACACCCTTGTGCGGCCTCCGTGGACACCTGCATACATATGGCACACATACATACACACATTTCCTCCCATGTACACACAAACAAAGATACATCAGTTTTTTAAAAGTAGTTATCTTGAGTGAAGTAGAGGGGCATTTTCTATTTTGCAGACAAGAGTACCCAGAGCTAGTCATAGGAGTAGCAGTGCTCTGTCCGTGTCATGCTTAGCTGTGTATCATGTGAGCTGATGTCTTCTGTGAAACATTCTCCCTGCTGCTTCCTTCTGCACTCTTAAGTTTGCAGTCCTCTGTTGAACTACAGGAGATCATGCATTGTGTTCCTACATTTTATGCCTGTCATCTTCACTGCTGAACAGTGTCTATTCAGAAAATCCAATGTCCTAGTCAGGGGTTCTATTGCTGTGGTGAAACACTGACCAAAAAGCAAGCTGGGGAGGAAAGAGTTTCTCTGGCTCACACTTCCACATCCTGATCATCACGGAAGGAAACCACGGCAGGAACTCAAGCAGGGCAGGAACCTGGAGGCAGGAGCTGATGCAGAGGCCATGGAAGGGTGCTGCTTACTGACTTGCTCAACGTGGCTTGCTCAGGCTGCTTTCTTATAGAACCCAGGACCACTTAGGGATGGCACCACCCACAATGCACTGGTCCCTCCATACCAATCACTAATTTAAAAAAATGTCCAACAGGCTTGTCTACAGCCTGATCTTATGGAGGCATTTTTTCAGCTGAGGCTCCCTCCTCTCAGATGACGCGAGCTTGTGTCAAGTTGACATAAAACTAGCCAGCACACCAAGACAAGTGAACGGTCAAGTAATTAACGAAAAGCATAGAACATGTACACATGAAACCAGCTTTCTCAAGGACATAGCTACTGACAGGTCTACTCACAAATTAAACACACATACATCTGTATGACAGAATGTTTAATATTATCAGCTTTGAAAACCCTAATATAAATACGCTTACTACCTGATCACAAACTACTGGATTGATGCCCCTTCCCATGTCAAAGGACAAAACTGCCCTCAAATACTAGAAAATAATTAAAATATTTAGAATTTGTGTGACGAAAACTATGGAAAAACCCCAACACTGATGGGGAGAAAACACAAGCACACACCATTCTCACAGGAAGGAGGGTGAGCTGACACGGTCATAGTCGTAGATGATTTAGTCATTGAGTTTTAACAATCCCAGTAGGATTTCTCCTGTGATTTGACAGGATCTCTAACACAGGCATTTAAAAATGGAGGTGGCACTATCACACGATGCTGCTGCTGTAATTGCCCTTTCGCCGGATTCCTATTTTGTGGGTTCATCACCCATTGAAATAAGAAGCACACAAAGTATTTAAGCAAGTTTCCAATCGTCAATTATGAAAAAAAATCTGTAAAGTCAATATCCAACACAGGGGACGGATTCACAGAATCATGACTCTCACTGTAAAGAAATACTGTGTGGTGATAAGGATGGGCTACCTGTTCTGAATCAGAAAAACTCTGAAATTCTCAAAAATGCCAATTTCTTGAGCACTCACATGATTCCATAAACCTCATGGCTCAATACACACGACTTTGGTTCATGTATAAAATTATTAAAATACTGCATAAAATTATCCCCATTATATATATTCATATATATATTCATATATATATTCATATATATTATATATAAATGAAGGGTAAATAAAGTTTGAATTAAGCTAGGATTCTCTCTATGAGAAATATCATCATGTATATGCTAATATTCCAAAAAAATCCAAATCCAAAGCATTTTAAGATTTGTTTTGATTAATGTGTATGCCACATGTGTGTAGGTGCTTGTAGCAGCCAGAAGAGGG